TCCACTCAGAGCAGTAGTTACTCTAAATATCAACAGAGAGGGAGAGTCTTCAAATCAAGTTTCATTGCTATCCACTCTGTACACAGGGTAGATAGGAACAGGCAACTTAGACATTTGCTACCTAAAATGAGGGGGCAATAAAGGCACGAAGTGACTGGCTTACAAAGTTTCAAGAGGGAGTTTAGCTTAAGAGTATGAGGGAAAAGAAAGAGTCCCCACTGAATAGCTGTCATCTTGTCTAGATGGGTCTGGTGAAAAGAGATGGGGATAAGATTTGTAAGATTCAATAGTGAATAACAGTTATCATGACTAATCGTGACTGTCACAATTGTAAAGGTAGAAGTTTTGTAACAAAAAAAAGGTGAGTGGTTTTACAGTCCAGAAACAGAGGACCCTAGGACGATCAAGAGAGGAACACACAAGCAGAATGCGGGACCTTATCCAGAGAAGCAGCAGCACCAGCGATGGAGGCAGAGATGGGGGCATGGAGATGGGGAGCGGCTGAGGACTCTAGATTCATCAACTAAGAAGAGAAGAACTAGGAGCTGATGGCTAGGAACAGACTTGCAGAATGTGCACTTTGGAGATGTAAATTATTATATGCCTGAGTGTGTTTTTTCAAAAGCTAAAGTGGATAGAGAAAAATACTGTTAACTGATGGTACAATGAGGGGATTATAATCAATGTAATGAAACAAGGTATATGATTTATTGAATGTAAAACTGATGATATGCCCTGTAAACTTTCACTCAATCCACAATAAAAACCTTAAAAAAAATTTTTAAATAAAAAATAAAATAAATAGCGGTTCATTAGCTCAGAGACATAGCTAAAAGACTAAATTTTATGAGTTACAGGATTCTATATCTAAAGTAAACAACCCCTGATGGCACAAAGGTTAAGCATTTAGCTGCTAATGGAAAGACTGGTAGTTTGAACCTCCTCAGCAGCTCCGTGAGAGAGATTGCTGTTGTTGTTGTTAAGTTCCATCGAGTCAGTTCAGACTCATACAACTCTGTATATTAGGGTTTCTGAGTAGCAACTGATGGGTTTGAACAGCTGACCCTGCAGTTAGCAGTCCAGTGCTTATCTTACAGCTCCATACCAGGACTCCTCTGTAAAGATGACAGCTTTGGAAACTCTATGGAGCAGTTCTACTTTGTCCTATAGGGTTGCTATGAGTCAGAAAACAGTGGGTTTGAGTTAGTGCAAGAAAAGGCTCAGGAGCTTTTTTCAATGATTTGAAAGCTGATTGTGTAGCACGTGAAAAGGTGATTGTGATAAAGAATTTGTTGCAAGTGGGTTCAATAATTTCAAAGTGAGGGCAAATTTACATAACATTAAAGGGCACTATTTGTAATCCAGGGATTGCCAGTACTCTCCTAAAAACATACAGTTGCTTCACATTTATCTGTTTTCTTCACATATGCATACCTTTACTCAGGCAATGACTTTTTGTTGTTGTTACGTATTGGTGTAGTTGGTTCAGACTCATAGACACTATAGGGCTTCCAAGGAGCAGCTAGTGAGTTTGAACCACTGACCTTGTAGTTCAAACTGACTTATGGCCCAGTGCTTATCCTACAGCACCACACCAAGATTCCAGGCAATGACTGGTGAGGTGTAACTGAAGTGAAACTCACAGTTTATATCTAAAGTACTAAATGATAAACAGACTGTACCAATGCTGGGACTTTGTTACATTGCTGTTGTTAAGCGTCATCAAGTTGGTTCTGACTCATAGCAACCTTATATAGGGTTTCCAATGAGCAGCTAGTGAGTTTGAACTACTGACCTTGTGGTCCAGTGCATTATCCCACAGTGCCACACCTACTGAACCAAAATAAGGCTCGCAAGCTATGTTGTCACATTTTCCTATTCTACCAGGCAAGGAAGAGCAAACGCTGTGCTCATGCCAGCTTATCGCGAGTTTCAGTGACGTTTAGGTTGCTGTCTTTAAGAACATCAGTTAAGGGTCAAGTTAACAGCTGTCAGCTCCAGCCCCTCCTTCCTATCTCCAACTTTAGGCCTGTCATTTCTGTCTAGCCTATCACTAAAACCTCGTCATGAAATCAGTACTCCAATTCTTTCCTCACTGGATATGTGATTATATCGTTTCACTTCAGACACTTGTATGGCTCCCCACATTGCTTCCAGAATAAAGCCACAGCACACTAGACTCAACACGAATTGACCACAACTTATCCCCTGGCTCCAACTCCCCATCAGGTCCCTCGACTCCAGCTGGAAACTGCACTTCTCAGATTAGACACATTTTTCATGCTGTTTGCTTTTCTATGTTACAAGGAGCACCCTTTCTTATCCTCACTTCAGCTTCCCAACTCCTTCAAGAGTGAACTGAGACTTCACCCTGCCTATCTGGTCTCAGCACACGTTCCCTTTTTTACAAAAAGCCCTTAAACTGCATGGTAAGTGTGTTTGCTTCCGTCTCCCAGGGTAGAATATGAACTTCTAGATATCAAGGGTTTTATCACTATCCTCCAGAAGAATCCAACACAGTGGTGTCACATATCCAAATATTTACTGAGAATGACTGATTTGAGTTTGAATTAAGGTCTTTAACTGGCATTTAACAAACCAATTTCTTTCTACTTAAAACACACAGAAAGAATTCAACTACAGCTTATTAAGCTCTGGGAGTGTAGTGCATTACCTGTTGGGCTACTAACTGCAAGATTAGCAGTTAGAATCCACCAGCCAATCCTCAGAAACCCTATATAAGGTCACTAGGAGTTGGAACCAACTCAAGGACACTTACGAGCAACAATTACAAGGAATTGTGCTGAAGAAAGGAAATGTGGGCGATATGAAAATGAATAAAATATCAAAGTCTTCAACTAACTATATTACCCAGCCACCTTAAGTGCAATAGTAGAGGTTAAGTACAAGGTGCAATTACTAAAAGTACAATGAGGAAAGCAATTGTTTCTGCTTCAAGAGCAATTAAGATCTCATTTTAGTTAAGCTTCATATGATAACTAAGATTTCATCAGTTAAGCTAAAGCTGATGGATTTGAACCACCGACCTTGTTCTTTAAAGACATAGTTTTCAAAGTTTCATATTAAAGTATGAAAATATATGAATTTAATATTATTTTTCTTTAAATTACAAAAATAAAATATACTCATTGCAGGAAGTACAAATACAAAAGCCACTTTTCTCCAATCCCTTGGGGTAAACACTATAAATCTTTTAAAAATCTTTTTCATTACACACATAGATAAAAGAGATTTTAAGTTTATAAAAATAGTTTTGGTTTTCAAAACATTGTTCTGCAACTTGATTTTTTCACTCAATAGATAAAGCACAAATCGTCTTGTTGGTCTTTACACCCAGGATATGAACTCTTGTTGAATATGGTGTATTTGGACCATTTAATCAAAAAACAAAAAAGCAAAGCAAAACCCACTACCATCAAGTCAATTATGATTCATAGTGACCCTATAGGAGAGTTGAATTGCTCCTTAGGGTTTCTGAGACTGCTCCTATAGAGCGGTTGGTGGGTTTGAACTACTAGCTTTTCTGTTAGCAGCCCAATACCTAACCCACTGTGCTGCCAGGGTTCCTTGAACCATTTAATGTTGTTGTGAAGTGCCGTTGAGTCAGTTCTGACCCATAACGACCCTGTATAGGGTTTCCTAGGAGCAACTGGTGAGTTTGAACTGCCGACCTTGCAGTTTAAACGGCTTTGCAGTCTGGTGCATTAACCCACAGCGCATTTAATAGAACCATAAAAAGAAGCATGATTTATGAACTTATCATCTGTTCTACTAAGCATATGCATGTTGTTGTTGTTAAGTTCCGTGGAGTTGGTTCTGACTCATAGTGACCCTGTACAGGGTTTCCGAAGCTGTAAATCTTTACAGGAGCAGAAAGCCTCATCTTTCTCCCACAGAGCTTTTTTGAACTGCTGACCCTGAGGTTAGCAGCCCAATTCTTAACCACTACATTACCAGAGCTCCTTAAGCATATGCATACACACATGAAAATATACCAGTTTGTTTTCTACTTAAGACTTGTTCTTACCTGAGAAGGCAATTTCTTCACTTCTTTTCATTCCCAATCTTTTATAAATTTCTCTATCAGGGTCAACATAGATTTCATGAGCATACCCAGTCAGTTTGCAGAAAGGCTGAAAAAAGAAAAGAGGTGGGATTTTTAAAAAATCAAATGAGAAGTAACAACAACCTAACTTAATTCTAGCAAATTTATCATATACTTCTTGATTTAACAAATATAATTTTTATGCATTAAGCAGATTTAATCTGTTAGTTTCCCAATTTCTAAATATTTACCTCAATATGATGGTAGGATGACTGTCCAATCACTATAAGAGTGACATTTGCTTCCTTTAGGAAAAATAAACAATATGTACATATTAGAAATTATATGTTTGATACAACTTTCCCTATTCCAACTCTTTTGTTCCAATCTAATGCCATCTGGTGTGGAGCTGTAGGATCGGTACTAGACTTTGAACCACAAAGTCGACGGTTCAAACCCACCAGCTGCTCCTCGGAAACCCTATACAGAGTGACTATGAGTTGGAACCAACTCCATGGTACTTAACAACAACAACAATGCCACCTATAGGCTTCTAGAAGAAAAAATAGCAAAAATGAGTCAAATTAAAGAAATGCATTATTTATATCAAAATCTTAATGTTAAATAATTCTTTAACTAGTAAGAATTTTAAAATGACATAGTCATCAATTCTTTTCCCCAACCCACTGCCGTTAAGTCCATGGCCTATAGAACAGAGTAGAATTGCTCCATAGGGTTTCTACAGGAGCAGACAGCTTCATCTGTCTCCAGGGCAGCAGCTGGTGGATTTAAAGCCCAGTCCTTACAGGCAAGTGCTTAACCCACTGAGCCACTATGGCTCATTACACTCCCCAGAGGGTAGACATAAAAAAAGAATAAAATTTATCAAAGCCCGATTACTCTGATCAAGTTTATTTTTCCACGTTTCAATTACAAAGGTCTACAGAAAACACACAAGTTTTACAAAGGCTGTCTAATGCCCTTATTCAAAAGCTCTCCTGGAGATAAACCTGTATGTGGTTAGCACAGGACTTGGCATACACATCCTATTAACAGATACACATTTTTGCCTATAAGACATATTCATATTCTCGTATGTTGTTGTTAAGCGCTGTTGAGTCAGTTACGAATCATAGCGAAACTGTATAGCGTTTCCGAGGAGCAGCTGGTGGATTTGATGAGTTGACTCTGAAGTCCAAAAGGACCTTACAGTCCAGTGCTTATCCTACAGCGCCAAACCAGGAGTCCAGGCAACTTGTTGTTGTTGATAAGTGCCTTCAAGTCGGTTCTGACTCATAGTGACCCTGTAAAGGGTTTCCAAAGAGCGGCTGGTGTGTTTGAACCGCCAACCTTTAGGTCCAGTGCATTACACTGCAGCGTCATACCAGGACTCCATAAAGTTTGGCAGCTTAGTAACATAAAAGAATTATTATGTTAAGTTCAAAAGCAGGCTGCAAATGAATAAATTAGGGCAGAAATAGAGCTCTAACGTTGTCTCCTTTCTGCAGGTGAAGTAGAAACGTGTGAGGAGGTTTGCAGGTCAGCGTCCCGGGCATTACACCTTTAAATAACAAGAGACTTTGCAAGGTCGTCCAGAGGCCCGGCGCTGCAGCTCACTGTCACTTACTTCTAAGAAGCGCTGGGGAATTTTCGCCAGATCTTCTACGTATTCCTTGCAGATGTAACACAGGAAATGCTGAAATACCAACACGGCAAACATGGTAAGTTAGCAACGTAGCACTTTCAGAACCAACAAGGAACTAAGTACTTCGCTATGCATCTGACGCTAATAAACGTAATAACACTCAAAACGGGTTAAAAAATAAGCTAAGAAAAGGTGTCAACGACGCCCAAGGCGCATTAAACTCGGGTCGCCGCGCTTGGTGGGTTGTTTTCCCGTACCGGAAGCGAGAGGAGCCGTTCACATTCCCGAAGCCTCGAGGGGACGAGAACGGGACGACCCGGCCCGGTTGGTCCCATCCTTAGCTCCAGGGCCGCGGACCTGGAGCCACCCCCACCCCAGCCTGCGGGCCAGGCCCCGGCGCGGGGTCGCCTCACCCCCACCTCACCCGCACGAACACCACCACAGCCCGGCGCTCCCGGAACAGCACACCGAATGGCACCCGCTTCCCGGAGGCGTCCAGCACTGGCAGCTCGGCCACAGCGTCAGCCAGGCTTTGTCCACATTCCGGGCCGCTCGGGACGGGCGCCGGAACGGCGCGGCCGCTTATCTGCTGCGTGACCGGGGCCGGGGCGGCCATGAGCCCTGCGCCGGAGGACCCGGGACGGTGTCAGCCAGGAGGAGCCTAGACGAGACAGGCGGGACCAGGAGCAATGGGGCGGAGCTGGGTTCCGGAGGCTAGGGAGCCAGCGGGTCTGGCAGACTGGGGGAGGGTAGGAGGATCCTGGGCCCCGTCACATGAGGCAGTGAGGAGGTACTTCTTGTGGTCTGGGAGTGCTCATTCCGTGGTGGTAGAATTTTCATCGTCCGTGGAGGACATATGGGTTAGATTCCCTGCAAACACACCTGGTGTACAGCCACCACCATTTATCAGTGGAGGCTAGAGTGTTGCTCGGATGTTTAACAGGTTTTATGGGAACTTCCAAGTTCAGAAGAAAGGCCAGATGATCTACTCCTAGTAATCAACGAATGCAAACGCTATAGATCACAATGGTCTGATTCACTACTGATCATGGGATGGCAGTCTGTTGTGTACCGGATCACCATGAGTCAGGATGACTAGACAGCACTTAACATCAACTAAGAAAGCTGATGAAGATTCTGAGATAGAATTTTGGCAATTTCTGAGTTAAATGGTTATCTCCTTGCTTTCCGCAGCAGTCATATTTTCACAACCTGACACATAGTCGGCCTCCATGAATTATATTGTTTGATGAGTACATAGAAAGGGGTGGGAATGGTGGTGGTAAGCTAGCTCTCACCAGCAGGTGCATATCAAGTATGAATGGCTATTGCCAGAAGACTGTTGTTTCTCATTGGCTGAAACTGGCAGGGCAGAGCCCAAAAGACACATCCATGCTAGCCAGTAGGCAGAAACCCTATCTACTCTATCTACATTCAAACTGGTGGGGGAGGGTGGGGGGAGGGTGCATAGGGTTTCCAAGCTTTTATGGGAGCAGAAAGCCTCATCTTTCTCCCGAGGAACTACTGGTAGTTTCAAACTGCTGAACTTGAGGTTAGCAGGCCAACTGTAACCTCTTTGTTCCAGGTGTCTTGTTAAGCACTGCCTGCAACCACTGGGATGTCCAACTATTTTCACATGAATCTCTCCAATGCTGAGTAGAACTCTCTGGTTGAACCTGGGATCAAACAGTCTGGTTCCAATCTCTTATCTGCTCCTCTATGAATCTGGAAAGAGCAAGATTGTTTCTTACACAAGGACAAGGGTAAGTCAGACAGTTTTGCTATAAAATCATAGAAATCTTTACTAAACAAAAATAACAAAATGTGAAGCTTTTGTTTTTTGACATATCCTCCTGAATGTGGTATTTCCATCTCTTTAACTCATCCTGGTGTGGTGCTGTGGGCTAATGCGTCAGACTGCAAAGTCATTTGAACTGCAAGGTTAGTGGTTCAAACTCACCAGCTGCTCCTTGGAAACCCTATACAGGGTCGCTTTAGGTCGGAATCGACTCAACGGCACTTAACAACAACAAAAACAACCCATCCTCAAAGAATTCTGTGCTGTAAATCTTTGCTGGAGCAGAAAGCCTCATCTTTTTCCCTAGGAGCAGCTAGTGGGCTCTAACAACCAACCTTGTGGTTTGCAGTTGAGTGCATATTCTCCAGAGCCATTGTGCTCCCAAAGTAAACTATGTTGTTGTTGTTGTTAAGTGCTGTTGGGTCGGTTTCGACCCATAGCGACCCTGAATAGGGTTTCCGAGGCTGTACATCTTTACGGGAGGAGATCGCCTCATCTTTCTCCCACGGAGCAGCTGGTAGTTTCGAACTGCTGACCTTCAGGTTCGCAGCCCGATTCGTAACCACTACACTACCAGATATGGTGGTGGTTATATGCCGTGGAGTTGGTTCTGACTCATAGCGACCCTGTATAGGGTTTCTGAGGCTGTAAATCTTTACAGGAGCAGAAAGCCACATTTTTCTCCCATGGAACAGCTGGTAGTTTCGAACTATTTACTTGTGGTTCGCAGCCAGATTCATAACCACTATGCTACCAGAGCTCCTTAAAGTAAAGCTATAAACTCCCTGAAAACAAGCTCCTTGTCTGTGTCATCTCTAGAAACTAGTACAGAACTCAGTACATAGAAAGTGCTCAGTTCATTCTGAATGAATGAGCCTTTTGCTTATCTTTATGTTTCCCTCTTATACTTCTCCCTTCATCTGTCCCTTTTCATTTCCCCCATTCTTTTTCCTTTACCGGTATCACCACAAACCTAAGTTGTGTTATTACTTACTCATTGTTACATTGCCATGGTTACAATCCCCTCCGTGCATCATCAGCCAACCAATGGTACATCACACAAGCCTGCCCCCTGCCCCACTATTGTATCCCATGATGCTATCCACATCTCCTTTCATCAGCCCTGCCCAGACAGACTGGATACTACTCAATGGAGATTCTAGCTTCCTCCGTGCTCTCTGGATCTAGGCTCCCTCTTGAAAGCTTGTAAGCCAGTCACTTCATGCCTTTGTAGCCCCCCATTTTGGGTAGCCGATATCCAAATTGCCCATCCCTGTCTACCCTGTGTATCGAGGGGGGTGGGAATGATTCTCGCTGTAAAGATTTGTTGCCTCTTTGGAGCTACTACATCCATAGGTGTAGGTCAAGTTCATCAAATTATATCAGGTTACTCTTTTTTCCCTCTTTCTTTTTCTAGTTGAGTTCTGATCATCTGGCCATTGAAGCCAGGTCAAGTGGGTATTATCTGTAAGTGTGGGTGTTCTTGTGCATATGCCCTTTCCTTATTGTCTGGACGCTTCATTCTCCATTCTAGTCCTCTGTGGCTATGTCACTGACTCTGGGCCCAGGAGTCCATAGGTGTTGCTACATGCTGGACACCTAGGTCTCCACCCGGGTTCACAGGAATGTATTGAATGTGGTTGGACTTAGCTCGCAGCTTCATTGCTGTTTTTCCCTCACTTCCCCTTATCGGTGATCAATGTGGTTGCCAGTTAGAGCACGTGTCTGCTTGTGTATTCCCATTGAGTCTCAGTTTTACAAGGGGGTTTGCTCTGAGGGGACCTGATTGCTTGCTTTGGTGTCTCCTGGGTGGGCAACTTGTTTGTTCTTGTAGTAGTCAGTCAGACTGCTGTTATTTGTTTTGTATTTTTCCTGTTGGTATTTCTTTCAAGAAGTATCTTCTGTTCTAGCTGTTCCAGGCTGGTCTGCTTGCCCTTTCCAGTGGAAATTTCCCACCTCAGAAAATTCTGGATGGGGTTCAGGATTCCACCTATGGTCTTATGTAATACAGAGGCTCCACAGGAAGCCTCCTTCACTGGCATGCTGTAGCCCCATTTTATCTCTTCCAATCAGTTATAGGCAGAAGACAGACTTAAAAGCTTTCTTTGGTGATATTTCTAGCTATTCCTTTCTCTCCCCCTTAAGTGTCTATTTTATAATGGTATGCAAAGGAAACCAAGATTCAAAAGACAGCCAAGCATCTTAAAATTATTTCCCTTTTGCCCATTCCAACCATGTCTCAATCCCCGTATCCCAGAGCCCTATTGTTCCAAGGTTGTGGATACATCATTATTTACCTCTGTCCCACCCTATAGGCCTCTCTTACAGCAAGTGTTGTTGTTGTTGTTAAATGCCATCAAGTTGGTTCTGACCCATAGTGACCCTGTATAGGGTTTCCAAGGAGCAACTGGTGAGCTTGAGCCACCAACCTTGTAGTTCAAGTGGTTTTGCAGTGAGTACAATAATTAAATATGTTCATTAGAGGGCGCAAGAGGGACATTTCAGGTATAAGGGCTGTGTGGTAAACTGAGTGGACTGTCTCGTCATGTACCCAGGATGTGCAGCCATGGCCAGCTCTAACAACAACCTTCTTCCAAACTGGTTGGCATGGAAACCAGAGCCCAGCTGGTTTCTTGCGGGTAATTTGATTCTTCACCTGAAACTCAGAGGATTCCCATGGCTTGCCACTCCCTCTGTAGGCTCCTGCATAGCTCACCTACATTCATCACCACTCCCTCTTCCCTCCATGATCACTGGTGCCCCACTGATTCTCTGGAGGGTTGACTCCATTGACTGCAGGCCAGCTCAGGCCTACGAAAAACAGTGAACTCTGCTGTCCAGTAGACTGGCGAACTATACTTTTTTCAACAAGTTCTAACTCCTAGATTGGGGAAGGGGTCCTGTTATGGATTGAATTTTAAACCCAAAATATGTGCTGTAAATCTGTATTTCTGTACTTGTGGACAGATGAACAGTAGTAAACTAGTTAATGTGACAATTTGCATATGAACAATTGATGGCTGTTCCACCCTCTGCCCCTGGTTTTGTTTTGGCTGATATGGAACATTTCCACTGTCTCTTCCTACAGATGTAGTCAATTTGATTTGACTTGTTCATAGCAAAGACATTTTTAAAACAACATAAAAGACGACTATACACATGGACCTCACCAGATTAAATACACAGAAATCAAATTGACTACACAGTGGGAAGAGATGCCAGAAGAGCTCCATAACCTCAGCCAAAACAAAGCCAGGGGCAGATTGTGTAACAGACCATCAATTGTTCACGTGTAAGCTCAGGCTAATGCTGAAGAAAAGTAAAACAAGTTCACGAGAGCTAAAATATAACCTTGAACATAGCCCACCTGAATTCAGAGATAACCTCAAGGACAGCTTTGATGAATTAGACACTAATGATAGAAGAACTGAAGAGTTGTGGGATGACATCAAGAACATCACACAAGAAGAAAGCAAAAGGTCATCAAGAAGACAAGAAAAAAGGAAAAGACCAAAATGGATGTCAGAAGAGACTCTGAGACTTGCTCTCCAGTGTACAGATACTAAACCAAATGGAAGAAATGAGCAAGTAAAAGAGCTGAACAGCATAGCAGCACTATCTACAATAGCAAAAAGATGGAGACAGCCCATCAACTGAAGAATGGATAAACAAACTGTGGTACATATATACAATGGAATATTATGCTACCTTGAAAAATAACAAGGAAGTTGCAAGCCACTGCATAACCTGGATGAACCTCAAGGACATTATGTTGAGTGAAATTAGTCAGTCACAAAAGGAGAAATACTGCATAGGAT